ATTTTTAAAATTAAATGTGCGAATAGCAATTTGCTTGAAATATAAATGTTTAGCTTCGAACCGTATACAGGAGTTCAATATAGGCAGTCCATGCGTTTCAATTGAACGAGGATATTCAATTAAGAAATGTACTTTTGGTGTTACATGATCAGGTAAATGTTCGATCATGAGAGAATGAAATTGTTTACATAAACCATCTAAGTACGATAACCATGATTTTCTAAGTGGATTGGCATATATGTAGCTTATAATTTCACGTAAAATGGTGTATAGTGGAAGTAGAGTAAGATCATCAATAATATCGTGAAAGACAATAGGAAATAAACGAAAAAGACATAATTTTTGACTAGCAGAGCCAGCTATATTTGAATGAGTTATTTGTTGCTTTTTTACAGGTGGTGATTTATTTGATGAATCATAGAATCCATAGATGAAACATGATGTGCGCTGTTCAATTTCTGCATAAGTCAAAAGACGTTTCTGAATAGCTTCTTTTAATAAAGCACTTATGATGAGCGGTCACACACCTCAATTAAAAAAAGAATTTTTTGCATGTGGAAATATTGTCCTATTCATAGTATTACCTTCAGCGATATCATGCATTAGGTCTGGTGGAAGTGATTCGGTAGCATGAAAGCCAATAAGATCTTTAAACCAACTTTCATTTTTAACACTTTGAATAATTTGACCTTCATTATTGGCGATAATTTTATTGACAATGATGTCGTGCTTTATGCGAGTTCGTGGTACAAATGATATATCAGTTAATGGGATATGCCTTTGTTCATAAGTAACGAAACAATGATGACAGAAGCTTCCAGAGCTAAAGCTTTTCTGAAAGCCTCCAACTTCGTTGGACGCTAAATTATCACCAGACACAGTAGAGAAAACGAAATAAATTCTACTAGAAAGACAAGGGACTGTGATGCCTTCAGTTTGAAGTTTATTAAGATTTTCCACGAGTATCTTCATTAATATCGATCTATTGTTATCTTTGTTCAAATGTTTTGTATAACATATACAATGTAAACCTATTGAATTAACTTGTGATCGAACGATATCCGGTAAATCATCTAACAAATAATAAAAACAAGTAAACTTGTGTGAATCTTTCTTAGCACCTATTGGATTAGTAATACCAATACCATCTGTATATAATTTCAATAATAAAGAATTAGAATTTGTTTGGCGAGAAAGATTTGATTTAACTGAACGACTTTGTCGATTGGATAATATTAGATCGTTGTCTTTAGCTGCACGAGTTGATAAAGAATTAATATTATCAATTATCGCCCGCATTAATTGACCATTTTGAAGCATAGACGACAGGCTCTGTTTCAATGGAATATAATAAGCACGTTCCTCAGTTGTGTTCAATACTATTTCAGTTGGTGGTTGATAGTCGAAATACTTTTTACATTGTTTTAAAAAGTTGTATTCATTTTTACTAATAGAATTAATAATCCAGTTTACGTGTGTAAATATTGCTTCCATATTGATAATAGGCACAAGAAGGATGATGATGCTTTTGTTTTAATCAAATTAATAATTATGTCAAATAAAGAACAAATGTTAGATGAAATAGATTGCAGGACTTTTTGAGGCAGAAGATGATATTCACGAAGTTCGAGAAGAAAACGAGTATAGGATTGTGCAAGTTTGCCGAAATTAAGTTGTTCATTAGTAGTAGAAAAGATGGTGGAATCGAAGGTTAGAAATTCACGATCTGTCGCATCAATTTCTTCATCTGGATAAATACATGATTCAGGATCATTGATAAAATCTGACTGATTAATAAAAGTAGGATGAGAAAATAAATTCTCCAAATCATCGACAATATCATCAGTATTCCATGAAACAGTATCATTATTTTCCAATGAATCGATAAGAGACCGATGGCATCGGTAGATATGGCGACGGTAACTGTCAAAAGATGAATAGTGAGATCCACAAGAAGCATCTAATTCACATCGAATATTGAAGGACGATTCTTCACGATGTTCATTGCGGATATGTTTAAATAAAGTAGGATAATTGTGAAAAACGTTTGAGGAAACACACAGTGGACAAAAATAATGTTGCTCAGGCATTGTGATGACCAAAAGATCAAAATACTTCAACGTTTATGTGAGGTAATCAAATAATGTTACTAAACTAAAAAGTGAAGCTTCAAATATTGAACTATATTCTTCCTGAACAAAAAACATAATAACCTATGATTTCGAACATATTTAACAATGAACGAATGTTCTACATTGCCAAATAAGCATTTGTCAATTCTTTCGTTACCGTGACACTTTAATTCATACTACAAACACCGCAAAACAGACTAATTCTTTGAAATAATATAAAATATATCTTTAGCAAAAGAAACATGTTAATGTAGCGTCATATAGTTAAAGGTTATCATGGAACTGGGTTCCCTGTTGATTTTCGCAGATTCCTAACGCATCCATTAAAATCGAACTTTTCCATAATAGCCAGTGTTCATCTTGAAAAGAACGCATATCTCTCTTAGCATACTGCAAAAACAACAAAAAGAGATGTTGCCTTATTAATAGTAATATTCATTTTTTTCGATCATCACGAGCGCAATACAATTATAACATGCAGCGTAGTAGTACAAATGATAGAAAGCAAACCTTACCTTGAAAATAACGTATAATTGATTCATCAGCAATGAATGTCTGAAGCCAAGAAACCACTTTTGAACTTGAGAACTTATCCATTAAAAAAAAATCAAGTGTCTGAATAAAGTAACACAAATCAACATTTCAAGTGAAGGCCTTTAAAAAAAGAATCTGCTTTCTTAATGAAAGCTCCGCTTACTGAATATGCAATAGAATAGAACCAACTTGATTGACACGCCACAAAGAAGAAGAATTATAATGTTCGACGTGTAATTGCTTCAATTGATCTAAAGAAGAATATATAAATGAACTATAAGTTCAAATCATTCTTTTTTACTACAAAAAATTCTTTCTCACTGTAGTTAGCGATAATTTGCTACTTGATACGTAATGAACTACAACAAGCTTGAACGATTAACTAGCAGCAAAAATAAATATTCTATTCGACGTGCAATTGTTTTAGTTGACCTAAAGAACAGCTTATAAATGAATTTTAATTTTAAATCATTTTTCTCTAATAAAAAAAAACTTCTTTCATATTGAACTTAATAAAAATTTTGCTTACTCGATATGTGATGAACTACAACAAGCTTGACGGATTCACGAATAACAAGAATAAATATTATAATCGACGTGTAATTGTTTCAGTTGACCTAAAGAAGAATTTATAAATGAATTATAGGTTGAAATGATTTGTTTTCTAATACAAGAAACTTCTTTCTTCGTTTAGTTGAGGAGAGTCTTGCTTACCAGATTGATAATACAGTAGAATAAGTTTTATCGATTGAACAAAACAAGAATAATTATAATAATATTCGATCTGTAATTGTTTCAGTTAATCTAAAAGAGAATTTATAGTTGAGTCTATAATTTAATTAGTTACATCATGAATGATAAACGGTGAAGACTGAATTCATATTTGATTGGTGATCTATCCGACATAGAATTTTTGACGGACAATAGCGACATCCGTATGAAGAACAAAGTGCATTGAAGTACGATAACAGGAATATCAGGCTTTATATGTGCATAATAGGCTCTTGTAGATGAGAAATTGAAATGGAATAATATGGTTAATATTGAAATAATTAACTAGTGAACTTATTCTCCTCAATCGCTGTATTCAGTATCGAATTCTTTGTTTTAATAAATTTTTATCTGTGTCTGTTATTGTGGTGTTGGGTGATACATTAAATCTATGATTTTGTTTTTAATCTTTTCTTGAGCTATTTCGGTCTCTTCGAGTGTTTGTCGCAATTTTTAGACAACTACACTTACTTTTTAATTATCCCTAGTCAAACATCTTATGGCCTGCGCATGAGAAACATTGGCTTTTCGAGTAAGAAGATTATGCGCTATGGACAAATCTTGAGAGCTACGTATTTCACGCACATGAGATAAAAAGTTCTATGTAAAAAATGGTAATTTCGTGTTCCAATCATTTTCCACATGGGTCATTTTTCAAGTGAAAATAAGATCGACTTGTAAAGATATATCTATTGTTTATGATCACGATTTTGGTGACATTGTTTCTCCCATGCGTGTGACTTTCTTGAGATTCTTGAACAAGAAAGTCATGCGCTATGGACAAATCTTGAGATCAAGCCTTAGAAAAAAAGCTCGCCTACGGATTGCTAACATGTATTTTTTTTTATTTCTTTGCCTACTGAACATTTTGGTGACACAGCTCTCTATATTATGTTAACTATTTATCGATTTCCTAAGTAACCGTCATGTTTTCTGTATCGTCTTTTGAATTCTCTCATGGTTTGATTGCTTACTGTGATTTGTTATTGAGAAGTATGCATATGCGCAACCGTTTCTCAGCGTCCTCTCTCTGATCCTTGCGAATTTTAGTGTTAGACTTCGCAGAGACATTTATAGCTCTGTAAATACATATTCTTAAATAAGACCATGCCGAAGGTAATGCTGAGGTCTTGGCGATTACGCGAAAGCAGAAAAAACTCTTCATAATGCTCAGAAGCACGTAAACTTTCGTACGTAGTATAAAAAACGTATTACTATTAATGAAAACAAGCAAAGTTTTACAAGAAAACTGCAAAACCTTCAAATAATCTGTGAAACTATTCCTCGCTTCGTAGAAAATTTTCCAAACCTTTTTACAGTCCACGAAACTATCAACGGTTTGGTATGAATTATACCAAACCTTAAAGCAGATTGGAAAGTGTCGAAAAGTTTCGCACAAACAATACAAAACCGTCGGATCTTTAACGAAACCATCAACCGTTCTGTATAAAATATTTCAAACCTTTTGATTGTTTGCGAAGCCCTGAGTCGTTTCCTATGAAATATTCCAAACCTTTCTACCGTTTACGAAACCATCCGTCATTTGGTATAAAATACTCCAAACCCTTCTACAATTTACGAAACCATCAACGGTTCTGTCGGCATATTTCGAAATATTCTGCCATTTTATGAAACTATCAGAGGATTGGTACACGATCTACGAAACTACAAAGAACTTTACGGAACTTACAAAGAGTTCCGCAGCTGAATTCCGAAACCCTATGAAATCTGCTGAACTTAAAATAGTTCTGGAAGCAAACCACGAAACGATTTGCGCCTCACGAAACTTAAAATTGTTCCGTGCAGAAATGCGGAACTTTTAAGGTTCGGTAGAAAACCGATTTTTTTTAGAGTGCACACGCACCCACACCCACACCCCTGTTTTACCATAACTACTCAAAGAATTACAGACCGCAAGCGAGCTTTCTCGCCCGACAATTATCTCAAAATGTTAGATTTGGTTGGAATCAACATTAAGTCGTGAAAGAAATTGGATTACTGTTGTTTCTCGAGATTTCATTATTTTCCATGCTGATTACCACTGTTGCCTTGATTTCGAAACCGGAGCTCATAGTTAATATATGCAGTTTGTGAACGTTCGATGGTATGGAGAGAGGAGTCCTCAAACATCAAGAGGTAAAGGATCGTAAAGAGAGTAAACTCCAAAAAGTATAAAGCAGTCTGAGCGCTCAAGTAGCTGACTTAAGTTTTCATGTTGCTTTCTGCATCAAATGCAAAAGATAGCCACTTTGTGCATATTAGCACCAATCTTTCCTAAAAAGTTGAGAATCACACGATATTGTATAGACTCCGTTCGGCCATCATTATTTGTGACTCTCAAGACGGACAAAGTACTGCGATGGAACAACAGCATAACGAAGAATATAAAAAAACTACTTTATGGGACTGAAACTGTGTATTTCCGGTCATTCGCGTTGACGTCGTATCAGTTAGGCTAAAAACTGCATACATTTCTTGTTGTGTGTATGGAGAGAACGTTCTGTGCAATATGCTGTCTATCATACTAAGAGCATCGCGCACGATGTTCTACAGATTGTCTACACAGAGCACAAAGACATGAATATAGAAGGATAGTTTTGTACTGGCTCTCGGCTGATGCATCATTCTGAGAACCCGATCTTATGACTTACGAGCGCGACTATGTAACATATAGCCATTGAGTGCCAACAGAACGCAACAAAAGATAGCTTAACCAATTGGATCAAAAAAGACATCCGTTCTTCATTTTAGTTGTAAAAGAGAGCCCTTCACGCCTACCATAGGTCCTTGTAGAAACAGAAGCTGTCGATTCTTCGTGACTCACTATTTCTTACTGTCTAGCTGTACTTTGTCTGGCACTAATTGATTTCTTTGAGATGCTACTAAAATATACGTTTTTCTGAATCCAAAAGAATCCGATGGCATTGTAATTAATGAGTTTTGAAAATCGATAGATAGAACCCGATTGACTCTACGATTGCTAAATTAGAAAATTCACTATAGCATCGTGTTTTCAAGAAATCACAAAACAAAGTCAAATTTTGATTATAACCAAAA